AGAGAGAGAGAGAGAGCGGCGGAACGAAGATGCAGGGAATGAGAGAAGGACAGAGACGAGCGTCGGGGCCCGATGGATCGGAGAGGGACGGCGTCAGCGAGCCCGAAGAATGCCTCTCCAGGTAGCGGCGAGGTTCTGGGACCGGCTCGGTTCAGTCGAGTCAGGTCAGTCCTCGGGAAGGCGATATTCTTGTTCGCGGTGCACGTTCCGCGTTCTTTACGGGGCCTTACGTCGCGCTTATCGCGGCCCCGTCGTGTTCTGTTATTTCTCCTCTACGCCTCCTCTTTTCCGCCCGCTGCCGATTGCCTCTCGCGTACACGGTTTATCTTCATCCCCCCGATAACGCCTACCCCGAGGCGCTGGAGCGCGCGCGCGCGAACCCGTTGTACCGTGCTCGTGAGATCGCTCCGCGATCGGCGAACCCGAGCGAGCGTCTCATCGCGATCGCGTGAACTTCCTGACGATTTCCGCGAAAGATAGCGCGATCCGCGCGAGTCCGGCGGCAAGTCTCGAACTCGAGGGTGAATCGCGAACTCGAGTACCTCGACGATCGGTCACTAAACTCGTTCGATCGAATCGAATGCTATCGCGAGGATACACGTATATCGTGAGCCGTGTTTTTTAGTGTTCTCCGATGTGTTTCCGTCTCTGTGCAGTGTTTACGTCGCGGGCCTCATTCGGGCCAGTGGATTTAAAACCGTGGATTTGAAAGAATCCGAGTGATCCGACAACGAGTTCGAGAAGTTGTCAAATCGTTCTGTCACTGTCAGCATCGCGAGGATCACTTTTTTTCAGAATGATTTCGCCACCGTGAGAATGCGATGTGACAGAGAAAAGAGGCGAGTCTCGAAGCACGTGACGCAGATGTGTACACCTGGAGCATAGAAATCGGAAAAGAAGAGCAAGTGAAAAGAAAAAAACCTCTCGAAATTCTATTGTCGCGTAGACGAAGGACGTATTTACATTTTCTCGACTTGGACTCGCGCGAGACATTCATCGGAAAAGCGCGTCCGAAACATCCCGCTCTCGCGTTCGCGAGGACTCGCGAGCATCCGCAGACGCGCGTTTCGCGAGGCGCGGCTCTCGGCGGGTCACTGCCCCCTCTGCCGGGTGAAGTCTCCTCTCGTATACACTTGACTTTCAGCGACGAGGTAAAGGAGGAGAGAAAGAGCAGAGAAAGAGCAGAGAAGGAGAGAGAGAGAGAGAGAGAGAGAGAGAGAAGAAGAGAGAAGGCGAGAGAGAGAGAAGAGATAGAAGAAACAGATACAGAGAGAGGAAGAAA